GCGCATGAGCGTTGTTTCTTCTGCTTCCCGGTTCCCGGCTGCGGGCGCGAACGGCAGGCGGCGGGGCCGGGGCTGCTCTTCTCGCCAGCCCTTCGCCCTTCTCCTCAGGAGCTGCGGGCAGAGCAGAGAAGCAGAGACGGCGGGGCGGGTGGAGAGAGCCCGAAGAAGTTCATTCCCGGCCCGTTCCTCCCCTGGCCAGCCTTTTCGGGGACCCTCACTGACACCCGCCGTTCTCTCCCTCTGAGAGCGGGGGTGGAGCGGAGAGAGAGACGGCCATGCCACTGACCAAAGCCCAGTACGAAGAGATTGCCCGGGTCGTGGCCCAGGTGCCCCCCACCAGGCAGAGCCTGAAGACGCTGAAGGGCAGGTTCCCGAGGTACCCGTTCCTCCCCTGGCCAGCCTTTTCGGGGACCCTCACTGACACCCGCCGTTCTCTCCCTCTGAGAGCGGGGGTGGAGCGGAGAGAGAGACGGCCATGCCACTGACCAAAGCCCAGTACGAAGAGATTGCCCGGGTCGTGGCCCAGGTGCCCCCCACCAGGCAGAGCCTGAAGACGCTGAAGGGCAGGTTCCCGAGGTAAGGCTTTGGCCGCCGTGACTCCGCCCCGCTTTTTTTTCGCCCGCGCGGGCGAATTCCCGCCTCTCTCAGCCGAAAGAAGCGAAGGACGTCAGCTGTCGGAAAGCAGCTGCTAATCAGGGGCTGGTAGGCCGGCCGGGAAGGGCTGGTGGCGGGTTTTTGAAAGTTAGCGGGGGAGGGGAGAGAGCGAGCCGCCCGGTGGCCTCGTGTTCGTCGGGACAGTAAAGGCGCATCCGGCGTTTTAGGCCGGAAAAGCCGAATACTGACTAAGCTGGAGGTTCCGCGGGGGGCGGAATTCAGGCAATAAAAGGGAAAATGAAGGACCCTGTACTGGTGGGGGCTCCTATTCCGCCCAGTTGACCTTCATGGCTAAATTTCAGGGCGATCATGCCTAAGGCGTGGGCTGCCAACGACGATCCAGCGGGCTGTTGTATCCTTAGCTCCTGCTTCCTCAGGTGCCTGAAGGGGATTAAAAGTCGGTATTCCAGTGGTTGCCACACATAAGGTCTCCAAAGCTGTTAATGTCTCTGCCTGCTCTCCTGTATATACATGATCTGTGTGCCGCAGCTTGTGTAATGCTGTTGTATCTTGAAGTGTTTTGACAAGGCCACCCTGAGCAATTACTTCCTGGGTTGTTTTTCTATTTGTTTCCTACTTGTTCTTTTCTTGCGCTTCTAAAAATGTACAGGAGGGTAGGGATACAAGTGGCTATTGTGCTAATTTTTTGAGGGTGCATTTCGGCTGCAGGTTCTGGGTGTAAGTCCTACTAGCCTGAGTTGGCATCTATAAGATTGCACAGTGATGAGGTGCAATCCTGTACACATCCAGTTAAGACATACTAATGGGCAGAGAGGTATAGATAGTGCCGTCTTGTTTTGTAATGTGAAAAAAATAAATGGATGTGAAAAAATAAATAAATCTGTATTTACTATTCCTCTGTTATCTGGAGCTAAAATACTTGCCCCACTCATTTAGCCAGTGCCTTATTGTGGCTAGAGTTGGATCACGGTCTACAATCAAGTAAGGTACAGAGAGTATCTCTCATCACTGTGAGACCACAGACTGTGCCACCCAAGGAATGAAGTAAATGTAACCTTTTGGTGTGTACATACAATCATCTGAATATGAAACTATCAAATAACTGAAAAGAAGGTTTTTCCCACCATTTCATCTCCTTGCACCTTGCTAGTCTACAGTTCCCCTGTATAAAATCTCCATTTTCCCTAATATGTCAAAGCAACTTGGGTGGAGAGTAGTATGGTATGCAGAAATGGCATTGGCAAAGGATTAAATATTCTCTTCTACAGCAGCTACTCTGGGTTAATCCAGAATTTCCTGTCATTGCTTTAAAAAAATCCACTGCAGTTCTGAGGAGATTGGATCATGGAACTTGTCTAGAGGAATGTGATATGTGGATGGTAAAGAGTTTGTAAACCAAGCTCTGTGAGGAACAGTTCAGGGAGCTAGGCAAGTTTAGTCTGCAAAGGGAATACCGAGAGGCAATATGATAGCTGTCTTAAAATATTTGAAGGTCTGCCATAGGACAGATGGATCAAGGACACTACTGTCAAAAGCAACAGATGCAAATTACAAGAAAGGAGATTTTGACTCAACATTAGGAACAAAGTTCTAACAATGAGACCTGTTCAACAGTGGAATGGTTTGAATCAGAGGGTAATGAATTCTTCAGTACTGGAGGTGTTTAAGCAGGGATGCTTTGGAAAATGGGTTGGAGTCAAAAGTTACCTGTGATCCTTTCCAAGCGTAGTCTTCTATGGTCCTTTGAATATGGAGATGTGCGTTCAGACTACAGAGACTTGAGGTCAATGGTATGGCACACCCTGCATACAAAAAGTTATGTATTTAAGTCCAAGCATCTCCTAGAAGTCTTAGAAAAGACTCTTGTCTGAAGCCCTGGAGAACATCTGGCAGTCAGTGTTCCCAATACTAGATAGGTGGGCTGCTAGTCTGCTTATGTCCTATGATTGTAAATACCACCCATGTATGAAGCTGTCTAGGTTTTTCTCTCTCTTTCAGCTTCACCTCACAAGTTTCTTGGGAAGAGCAAAAATCATATGCCCTGTCTTGAATGTTGGGGAAAAAATTGGAAGACACAGTAAATTGATATTGTTTTGTGGTTATATATATCACCCAGTATAGTGAAAAAGGACTGCTAGATGTTTTCCCATCTTTTTTCCTGTTCAGGAGGAAATTATTTAGGAGAGGAAAATGGTGTTGCTTCATGTTGTCTTTCATTGATGTTGCTAGGATATTTTCATCTAGAAGCAAATGAAATACGGTACCTTTATTCTTAGTGTGCAGGATCTCTGCTTACTTAGCTGGTGAAAGCAAACTTCTGCGAGAAGGTCCCTCAGAACCCACAGCCCTGGGTCTTTGGGGATGTTTCACAAAGTATTCGGATGGCAACTGAATTGTGAGAACTATGGTGTGGAGTCCCTGGAAATTGGGCGGAAATGTTTTTCACAATGGAGCCCTTCCACTTATGGAATGGAGATGCTGGATGCAACCCTGTAAACACCTGTCCATATATATGGGGGGGGGGAGAAGGCTGATAGCTTGTTGTGCAACTTCAACAGTGCAACTCAGATGATGTCGTTATCTGCAGCAATTTTGTGAGAATGTGCTATCCCCCATTCCTGCCAGTTCCAGGGATCCCTTTCATCCTGGCGAAGACTTTGGGATGTGTAAAATTAGGGGGAGGGCTCTTTAATTTTGGAGAAATGCTGCTTGTCTGACAGAAGAGTGAACAGTATTTGTGAAATGTGCTTGTCAACTGCTCTGGAGGGTTAGAGGACCTTCTAGAGTAGATGTGAGTGAGGATTTGAAGGAAAAGCCCTGTTGTGTGAGCAGAAGTCCTTTTGCATGATGATGGTTGGAGTCGTATGCCACAATACATTTGCTAGGCTTTGAGGTGCAATGCTGTATTTCTGAATAGTCTTAATATTGGGCAATCTAGATTTCTGACTGTTGTTTCAAACCTGAGGAAATTAAATTAAATAGGTCTTTTCTGTTTTGTGTCCCAAATGGATATTTTGTGCCTTCAACTGAAACTACCATGTCTTTCCTACAAGCAAAAGAACTGCGGGCAAATGCAATTGATACTGTGCGGCAAAAATCACTATCGATACGTGTTTAACTCTCATCTGTAGGATAAAGAAATGTCCTTTGAAAGCATTGTGAGGTATTTCCTGAGTCCTTGGGATTTCAATGTATTGATAGTTAGCAGTATGATTAGGGTTGGAATATATATACAGTGGGGTCTCGACTTAAGAACTTAATCCGTATTGGAAGGCAGTTCTCAGGTCGAAAAGTTCTTAAGTCGAATCTGCATTTCCCATAGGAATGCATTGAAAACCATTTAATCCGTATCTGCTCTTTTCGTCCATAGAAACTAATGGGAAGCTGCTATTCCGCCTTCTGCCACTAGAGGGGGATATTTTTTCTTTTTTCCTTTTAACCTAAGATGACTTAGCTTTTAAAAAAAGGGAAAAAAAGAGTTCGTAACTCGAATCTAAGTTCGTAAGTCGAGTCCATATATTCCTATGAGAGCGGTTCGTAAGTCGAAACGTTCGTATGTCGAGCCGTTCGTAAGTCGAGACCCCGCTGTATGTGGTATGTTTTCTGACCCCACTGAGAATTCTGATTCCTCCCTCGCCAATAGGGGCAGATCTGCTGATAGCCAAGAGTGTGTCACTTAAACATCCCGTCTTCATGTACTAGGCTTACTCTAGATCTTTCATAAGAGAAATGGCTGTCTGCTCCGCCTTTTTCCATCTTTGGCGGATTGCCCGGCTGCGGCCCTCAAGATAAGACCACTGCAACACGCTCTATGTGGGGCTGCCTTTGAGGCTGATGTAGAAACTTCAGATGGTGCAGAATGCAGCGACCAGGAGTGAGAAAATACCAGCACATTTCTCCTACCCTGGCCAGACTGCATTGGCTGCCCATTCGTTTCCGCATCGATTTCAAAGTTTTAATGCTTACTTATAAGGCTCTAAATGGTTTGGGACCTCGATATCTGGCGGAACGCCTGCTCCCACCAAAAGAGTGTGTCACTTAAACATCCCGTCTTCATGTACTAGGCTTACTCTAGATCTTTCATAAGAGAAATGGCTGTCTGCTCCGCCTTTTTCCATCTTTGGCGGATTGCCGGGCTGCGGCCCTACCTTGACATGGGGGCGGTCACTACCTTGGTGCATGCACTCGTAATCTCAAGATTAGACCACTGCAACACGCTCTATGTGGGGCTGCCTTTGAGGCTGATGTAGAAACTTCAGATGGTGCAGAATGCAGCGACCAGGAGTGAGAAAATACCAGCACATTTCTCCTACCCTGGCCAGACTGCATTGGCTGCCCATTCGTTTCCGCATCGATTTCAAAGTTTTAATGCTTACTTATAAGGCTCTAAATGGTTTAAATAAATAAATAAATAAATAAATATGGCAGATATGAAGCTGCTGTATTTCTCTTCTTATTATCTATAATTGGAATATTCTATACCAGAATCCGGGGGAGAGGGAGGAAATATTAGAAATGACCTTTCTTATCTTAAAGTGTTTTGCTTTTTTATTAAAAAAAAAGCAGTTGTACAGCATTACAAACATTTGGATAATATATTAAGTTTCTCAGAAACCTATGTATTGAGATTTTGAGATTTATTTAAAGATTTGTCTAAAGTCTACTTTCAAATAATCTAAATCATCAGATGACAGAGAAGTTTTCAAATGCTGTAATCCAAGAGATCTGCAAATGTTTTGGTAAACAGAGCTCATCCATTCACAGAATTTGAACATTGTGTAAATATGCAGTTCTCTCTTGACTGTTTTTCTCCATGAATATGCTTTGACTTTAACATGAAAATATTGCTATCTGTTTGTGCATGAGAAATTGCCAATAATGGTAGAAATCCTCATGGTTTTATGATAGATGCAGCTGTCCATTAGGAAATGGCCTGAAACCACCAACTCTCCTTTGAAAGC